ACCAATAATAATTTCCCCTATTTTTTATACTTCCCTTGTTCTTCATTTCCCCTGTTTTTTAACTTCCTCTGTTTCCGCTTCTAAAACTCCATGGTTTTGGCAATTTCAGGACACAATCAAAGCCCCGCCATCGGATATTGGTGATGCTGAGCAGTGGATATTGGTGATGCTGAGAAGTGGCTTAAAGGCCTAAAAAGAAGAACGATTGGCGAGAGAGATTAAATTTAATTAGTTGTTTGAGCGAGGCTTTGTTTTCTGCTTTGCCTCTGGTTTCTTTTCCTGGGATTTTGTCGTTTCTTTTGCTTTCTTTTGTGATCTCGGTAGCTAGCTGGGCTTGTTTCTTTGTTTTTGAACTGGTTTCGGCAGCTGGCTGGGTCTGTACCTTATTATCTTGTCTGTCTTTTAATAAATTGATGTCAACATTATAAAAAAAGCCCCGCCATCGGAAGCCAAGACGATGAGCAAAGCATCACTAGTCGGCATCGTCGTAACCACCATCTTCTACATGCAATGCGGCTACTTTGGCTACGCAACCTTTGGCGACCAATACCCGGGGAACCTCCTGACCGGATCCGGCTTCTACAACTTGTACTGGCTCCTCGACATCGTCAATGTCGCCATCGTCATCCACCTCATCGGAGCTTACCAGGTCTACTGCCAACCGGGAACAAGGAACAGCTGCGGCGGGGTGCTTCCACTGGTGATTTGATCGGGAAATGTTAAGTCTTTTGATTGACGTTCCCCCGGCGGCGGGGTGCTTCCTGGTAGCGAGGATTAAAAAAAATTATTTTTCAATTTTTTATTTATTTTTTAATGGTTGCAATAATGAGGTGGAAATTTGAAAAGTTTAAAATTTATTTTTAATTAATTTTTTAATTGCCACGTCACTCATTTAACGGTCAACTGTGAGGGTTGACTGCCACGTAAGCAAAAGTTAACGGAAATGGACGGAGAGTGACCAAACTTGAAACATTAAATCAATTTTAGTGACCACGAATAGAATTAAATATTTTTAGTGACCAAACATGAACGTTTTTAGTAATCTCAGTGACCAACCTTGCAACAAATTTTACCTAATAAAAAATCCATAAAAAGTATCCAAATAAATTAACACGCTAGCTAATTGGGTTTGGGGGAAAAGGGATCCCAAGAGTCACTTTTGCCTCTGAATTTGATCCAAACAAGACCAAAAGAAAAAACATATACAGAGTCCATCCCTTTGCTCATCGACTTTGTACCCAAAAAAAAAAGGTTCCCGGGCAGCATTCTTTTTCCTTTCCCTTCGAGAACAAGAGCCCCATACCCAACGCCTAACTCCTGCTCCTTCAATTTCACGAGCTGATGCGGGGTTGAGCTATCACCCAAGTTGCTGTTCTCCTTGTTTCTATTCTACAAGTTGGGACGAGAGGAGAATTATAGAGTTGCGCTGATTCGATATGCTCGCCTCAATAGGTACGCATTCTCAGTTATCACCCATTCATTACTAAAATAGCAGATGATTTTTGCGTTGCCCTGGATAATTAGAATGGAGAACTTTTTTAATTAGTTTGGTTTTCTAGATGGAATTGAATTATGCAGTTGGTGTCCGACGTTGATGCTCTGTTTGAATTAGGTAATTGATGGGTCTTTGCACTTGTATGTTAGATGCTGCTGGTAAAACATGGAAAGATTGCATTATGAAATACTGTTACTATTGACTGCTACGGTTAGAACATGACTATTTTTTCATGTTTTGAATCGGGTAAAATGGAAAACGCTCTGGATCTGTTCTACATAATGAATTTGACCGGACTTTTCTGTTGATGTCAAGACTTTTAATGCCTTTATTTGTGGGCAGAACAGAACTCATGCTTGATTTGATAAAATCTACTCTTGTTATTGAATTACCACAAATTTTACCTAAGTTTGCAATCTGTATATTTTTTTTCTCCTTTTGGAAGGTTTTCACGATGGATAAAAGTTGGATGAATAAGCACAGGGCTAGTGATGAATATAGAACTGGTTTGAACAATTTTCTTGCATTTGCATTTGGTTCACCGTGTGCTCAAGATGGCAAAATTTTATGCCCATGCAAAAACTGTTGGAACCGTTCTTGGAAGTCTCATGGTGATGTATATGATCACTTGATATGCGTTGGATTTCTACCCAATTATACTCATTGGATTTTACATGGGGAGAGTTCCTTTCATGCTTCGCCTCCACTGAGTACTACATACCAAGATCACATAGATACAAACACTGGTGTGCATGATTTATTGAATGATAAGGTAGCGGCAGAAGCTACCCATGGTTCTTTCTCGGGATCGCCTATCTACCATGGTTGCAGCCGCGAGCTTGCTGAGCATAGGAAAGATGCATCCCAGCTTATTATCATCGGTTAGGTGCCATCTAACCCCTTCAGTTGACCAATTCCCTACCCCACTCCAAGTAGCCGATCTCAAGCACTACCCATTCGTCTTTTCAGTGGATGGCTGTTGTTACATTCCGCCAGTTTTTGGCGACTTTCACTTTCAACCCGATTCACCGCCTACGTGCCCTTTACGCCCAGTCATTCCGAAGAACACTTGCCCCCCCCCCCCCCCCGTCATCCGAAGTAGTCTTTTAGTATAGAACAGAGGCATTCTGGGCCGACTACTATACTATGACTACATCCGCATCTAGTGCAGTGGCTTGGAAGCAAGCTACCTTGACCATCTTCCGAAGTTCTAAATAATCTACCAAAGGCTGTAGGGGCGGACTGCTCTACATTCAGCCACGCCATAGTGACCCCCGAAGCGATCTTCTTCTAGTTGCAGGACGAAATCCGGCAGCCGATTGCTGGCTCGGAATAACCAGCCCAGCAAGAAGTTCAATTCTTCCATAACATAACGGGGCGGGGTTGCGCGCGAGCCGAGTGACGTAGGTGCACAAGAGTACTTCGCGGCAGAAGAACCGAATGATGATGCTCTTAAATTTTTTAAGTTGGTGGAAGCAAATGAAACTGAACTTTATCCTGGGTGCACAAGTCATTCAATGCTTTCTTTTATCATCAAGTTATTTCACTTGAAATGTCTTGGAAATTGGTCCATCAAATCATTCAGCTTGTTGTTAGAGCTATTGAAAGAAGTATTGCCCAAGGGAGAAACTTTACCGCAATCTTACTATGAGGTGCAAAAGCTTATATCAGATTTAGGTCTGAGCTATGAAGTTATCGAGGCTTGTCGTAATGATTGCATGCTATTTTGGAAGATGCATGAAAAGGAGTCGAAGTGTCTTGTGTGTGGATGTGATAGATGGAAAAATAAGCCGAGTGATGATGTTGGATCTTCGAAGAAGAAAACCAAGAACATTCCTTATAAGAAACTTTGGTACTTTCCTATAGGAAAAAGACTACAAAGGTTGTTTATGTCCTCAGAAACAGCTTCTTTCATGCGTTGGCACAAAGAAAGTCGTACAAATGATGGAAATTTAAGGCATCCAGCGGATTCCCCTGCATGGAAAACTTTTGACTTTATACATAAGGAATTTGCTTCTGATCCTCGCAATGTCAGATTGGGTTTAGCTGCTGATGGTTTTAATCCATTCAGGTCCATGAATAATTCACATAGTACATGGCCAGTTGTGTTAGTACCTTATAACTTGCCCCCTTGGTTATACATGAAACAACCATACATGTTTCTATCATTACTCATTCCTGGACCTTCATCTCCAGGAAATGACATTGATATATATCTTCAACCTTTGATAGAAGAGCTACAAAGTTTGTGGAATGAGGGTATAGAGACTTATGATGCATCATTGAAGCAAAATTTTAGGATGAAGGCATCAGTGTTGTGGACTATTAGTGATTTCCCAGGTTATGCAATGTTATCAGGTTGGAGCACCAAGGGTCATCTGGCATGTCCTTCTTGTCATAAGTCCACTCATTCACAATGGTTGAAGCATTGTCATAAGTTTTGCTACTTGGGTCATCGAAGATTTTTGCATGCTGGGCATGAGTTTCGAAGACATAAGAAAGCTTTTGACAATAATCAGGAGTTCAGGCCTTCCTCGCGACCTATGTCTGGATCAGAGGTCTTACTCGAGCTACAAGGGCAAGCAAGTTCAGTTTGGAAAGCTCAGCAATAATGATCCATTGCCTCATGGTTGGAAGAAACGCAGTATATTCTTTAACTTGCCGTATTGGAAGGACAACGTGTTGAGACATAACTTGGATGTAATGCATATTGAGAAGAATGTTTGTGACAACATTCTTTGGACAATATTGAATGTAAGTGGGAAGTCAAAGGATAGTGTCAAATCTCGCCTGGACATGCAAATGATGAAGATCAGGCATGGATTACATCCAAAAAGATATGTTTCTGGTAAATTAAAGGTACCTATTGCTGCTTTCTCACTCAACACTAAAGAAAAGAAGACTTTCTTTAAGGTTTTAAAGGGTGTTAAAGTTCCTGATGGTTACGCTGCTAACATATCTAGATGTGTGAACTTAAAGAATAAAAACATCTCAGGTCTGAAGAGTCATGATAGTCATATTCTGATGCAACAACTTCTTCCTTTGGCGATAAGAAGATTATTGCCCAGAGCAATTAGCAAGCCAGTTATGCAATTATGCTCGTTCTTTAAGAAATTATGTACAAAGGTCGGTCGTTTGGAGAATTTGAATAATATAGAATCTGAAATTGTTGTAACTCTGTGTCACTTGGAAAGGATCTTTCCTCCGTCATTTTTTGACATTATGGTCCACCTGACTGTTCATTTGGTATCTGGGGTAAAGTTAGGTGGGCCAGTGCAAGCACGATGGATGTATCCAATTGAGAGGTATGTTTTATTTTTAGTGATTATTTAGATTTTTTCAATTATATCAAGTAATATTATTCTGTTTTCTGTAATTAAACTCATGTAGGTTCTTATCTACACTAAAGTCATATGTTGGTAATAAAGCTCATCCAGAAGGTTCTATTGCAAATGGCTATCTTGCTGTAGAGTGTTTAACATTTTGCTCAAGATACTTACATGGAGTCGAGACACGATTTAATCGACCTTCAAGAAATGATGATAGCATTATCCCCGAGAATGAAACACAAGAAGAAGTACCAACTATCTTTCCAAAGATAGGTCGCTCATTTGGACATGAGGAAGTTGTCTCTCTTGGCAATGATGTTTTGGACAAGGCACATCACTATGTGCTTACTAATTGTAGTGACGTAGATCCTTTTATTGAGTAAGACACCTCTATCATTTAGCTTATTCACCTGTACTTGAGGTAAACTTTGTATAATTGTTTTAATGTTGGACAGGCAGCACCTGTCTTTGTTAAAAAGTCAATATCCACGCAAGTCACCTCATGCTATTCAAGTACTTCACAATTCCACTTTTCAATCCTGGTTTGCTCATCAGGTATCTTTCTATAGCCAATTTTAAATCTAGCTATGGTCTTTTAATGCATAAAAGATTATATTGTAGTTTAACTCCTCTACTAACATACAGATATATGAAGGCAACCTAAACATATCTCAGCAGAAGTTAAAGGTACTGAAACGTTTGGCTAGATTACCAAACAATGTGGCCAAAAAGTTTCATGGTTTTGTTATCAATGGTTTAAGGTTTCACACCAGCGAGTTGGAGCGAAAAAGGAAAACTCAGAACAGTCGTGTGATGATAACCGCAAGCACGCAAAGTTATGCTAGTGCCCGGGACAGAAATCCAGTCTATAGCGAGATAAGTTATTATGGGGTTATTCAAGAGATGCTGGAATTGGATTATAATTACGGTAACAAAGTGGTATTGTTCAAATGTGATTGGGTATCAGATGGTAGAGGTTTGAAGCATGATGATTTGGGTTTCACGTTGGTTAATTTTTCACAGCGGTTGAGTGATAAAGAGCCATTCATTATGGCTTCTCAAGCCCAGCAAGTGTTTTACGTAAGAGATCCAATTGATACAGATTGGCAAGTTGTCATCAGAACCATACCAAGAGATCTGTATGATATGGGTGAAGAAGAAGACGTTGATGTTGATACTTTTGTGCAAACTGATGGTGATATGCTTTCTAGCCACATTCCAAATGATGATGATGTTGATTGGACTAGGACTGATAGAAATGAGGACTTGGTTGATGCTCCAGCTGAAATATTTGTACCTGAATGGAGGGGTATTTCAGATACAGAACAAGAGGAAGACAACGACGAAGCGCGAGCCGACCAGAGCCGAGGTTTATGTTGCTGCTCATGTGCGTCCAAATGGGACTCCATTGAATGACAAAGTTGCAAAGGTTATTGTAAGTATTGCATAACTGAATTCATATGGTTACTAGATATAATTCAAGCATTGTAATTTTGTATAAAATCAATTTCAAACTGTATCTTTTTTCAGGAAAAAATAAATGAGAAGAAAACTCAAATAGAGCGTACTCATCATGATAGTCCTGGACCACATGATATACTATCACAAGCACTCGGAGAAGACAAATATCATCACTCGAGAACATTTGGATTAGGGTCAGGTTGGGGCATAAAGAGTTCTCGAGTGTCAATATTAAAGAAAGCATTAGAGGGGAAAAGAAATGCCGAAGAGAATGCCGAAAAGATGAAAGGAGAACTGCATGAGGTGAGAGTAGAACAAGGAAAAATCATGACTTTGCTGCATAAACTTCATCCAAATGTGAGCATTGGTGAATTGCTAGACTCAACAATGCAGGTACATCCTCTTCTTTAACTAGTAATTTGAAATATTATGGGTTACATTTCTTTCATTAACATGACTATATTCATTTGAGCTATAGGACCATGTAGTGATCGAATCGGAAAGTAATGAGGATGAAATGAGTCCCACTGGATTTGGGAGAGAAGAGGAGAACTTAGGGAGGAGTCCACTGCTTTCCATGTTGCAAGACACAACTCCACAAAGAACTAACAGTCAATCAAATGAGGTCAGCTTAAATTAAGTTTTCTAATGGACGATCTTTAGCTCTATAATTTATAACTGGTTATGTATATTTTTTATTGATTACGTCAGGTTTCACCAAATCATATTCTCCAAACTTATCTGCCTCATTACCATGGTTTATCATCTGAAGTGAACTCTTCTCTTATACAAAACAAGACTTCCCAAATGGTAATTTGTTGTAGTCCTCTGTTCATTAGTTTAGTGGATGTTTATGAAAGTTCTCTCCTTTTAACCTCTATGTTGGTTCCTCGCAACTATTTTTTCTTTTGTAATGAAAGTTTGGTTCTGTTTGCCTTAACTTTTCTATTGGAGTTCCTTTCTTCATTATCAAAGCATTTATCTTCTCTAATATATTATGCAGCCACCAAACAAGACATTCTCGTTTTTGGATTCTATTTTGGATTCATCTCACAATGGTGGTTCCTCTACCCAATCACAGGTGCATTATAGTTCACATATCTATATACAGCACTTGTTAGCATGGTATTTGTTTGGAGTTAATTTATTAACATTTTGATTTTCAGGGATTAGAATTTGCAATATTGAAGAGCTTGTTAAGTCCTGAAGTTAATGTGGCATATGCTAATATCATGACAAAAGATCCAAAGGGTTGTGTGGCTGGTCAAGAATTGGGTCGTGGATTTTATGAAGTATTCATTCACGTCCCTTTTAAAAGTGACGAGCCTTTAGTACGACTATATGGAAGTTTTCGAACAATTGGGGATGTGATTGGAAGGAGTATCGCTTGGCCATCATCCTTGGTAATTAAGTTAAATGCAATTGGTTATATTTAGTTTGATTTTTTTTTCTTGACAAATATATGATTCATTTAAAATTTTGTTTTTGTAACAGGTCACATTGGCGGACACCCAATTATTTTGAAGATGCTCAATCATATTGCAGATATCTGCTACTTCATCAAGTTTGGAGATTAGTTATAATAGGACCATTTAGTTTTTAGTGCTAGTTTTATTTATTGGAATTGAATATTATTTTACTTTGTTTGAAGGATTTTAGTGTTGGTACACGGTTCACAAATGGTCTTTTATGATTTATATAATTTTCATTTATATTTGTCTTTCTATTATACTTTTATTAATCTGCGTATGTGGATTTCATGGGTGAAAAGCCAATTGAATACCACAGTTCTTTCCATCTACATATATTAATTTGTGACAAATAATACTGTATAGAAAAAGGTCTTGAGTGACATATATAATTGTTGTACAATATCCATATCGCAAACAAAAATATTTGCTTTTGTAAACAATATTAGAGACACGAACATGAGTCTCCTAAGGGTTATTTACATACATATATATTGGTCTCAAAAACATGATTAGGAGGCAAAATGATATGTCTCGGAAAAGAACATTAGAGACAAATAATAATGTCTTCAAATTTATATTTGAAGACAAGTATAACCGTCTCAATAAATAATTTTAGAAACCAATATATTCGTCTCTAAATATAATTTTGGAGACGGATATTTTTTACTTTAAAACTAGAAATGGATACAAATAAACTAGTGACCAAAAGATTTATTAGATGCTAAAATATTAGTTGCGGTATCTCTAATTAGTAACAGTCCATATTTGTCTCCATATTTGTCTCTATATGACTATAGTGACAGCGCTACAGGAGACAAATTTGTAATTTGCATCTAAATTAATATAGAGACAAATAATTATCATATAGAGACACATTTTCATTGTCTCTACAGTCAAGTTTTCCTGTAGTGCTTTTTAATGCCTCTATGAGATGAGATCCGTACAAAAAGACTTCAAAGAGAGTTTAGAGAGTCCATAACCTACACGAATGGGTTCGAATAGTAAGATACGGGAGTTATAAGCAAAATACCAGGAGGTTAAAGTGATAGGCGAGACGGTTTTACAAATCTTGGTTATAACATGGTGTACGCTTAGGATGCGAGTCTTGTATAACTGAAAGGAAAAAAGCGGTGTATCTTTATAACAAGTAGAAACTAGGCATATAATTCATGTAGACTTAATTTTCGTAAATTAGATCTTCTATTCGTCGATATAGGATGTCCATGCATATAACTTTCTAACATATTATTTCTCGTACAAATAAAATGTTTTTCCTTGATGTTTGCTCTTACCAACGATCCTGTTTTGAAACAAAACGTTGTCTATTGAAATCTGGCCTGGGTGCGAACAACCCGCAGACCGCAGTGGAATATTCCTGATCAACCCAAGTGAGATTGCGATTTGTAAAACCTACCACAGATTTCTCTCTCTCTCTCTCTCTCTCTCTCTCTCTCCAAATCTCAGTTGAAGCTTGCTCCTTGACCTGATCTCTTAGTACGTTCAGCTCTCTCTATTTACAAACCCTAAACAACGTTATTTCCTTCACCTCTCAGCGACACGTGGGGTAATAACCAAATTAATTATGCTTTCTCTACTAATTACCTCACTGTCCATCATCGAGTATCGAGTTACTGAGTTCATGAGATCCGCAGAAAGAGGAGCATGCATGTCTGCCTGCAACTTGGACCTTTGCATGTGGTGATCCATGGACCTGTCACATTTTTATTTATTACTTACTTCGTACTTAGGTTTGTGCCGCTGCTGCAGCCTGAGTGATGTTCTTGGACCGGTATTAATTTGCTACATCGATCATTCATCCAGTTGCCTTTCTTTTGAGAAGCAGTCATGAGCCCATCCTGCTAACTACTGTGGAAGCTAGCTAGGGGTAATCGGAGGAGGGAGCTAATGATGAGAATAAATGTTTATGTTCGGGCATTTGGATTAGTGCGTAGGGTGTTTGGATTATTTGTGTATAGGCCGAGTCGGGTTAGTAAGATGTTAGGAGTCTTTGTTAGGTTGCCGAGTCGACTAGGGTAAGTTCCTTTTGGCTGTAGTTATGGTTACTTATTAGGTTTTCTCAACTATATAAATGTAGTTTCGGCGTAGTCTGATCAAACAATTAATATTAATTATTATTATTATTATTATATAATTATAGCGTAAGTACCTCATAATTAGTTGTACTCAAGGTTGTCAACCCGCGGGTCGACCCACTTTGACCCTGGCCCGGTGAGAAAAACAGGTCGCACGCACCCGCCGGGTCGACTGCTACAAGGTACCGGGTTGGAGGTCAAATTGTGTCTATTTTTTTCTTTGGTTTGGGAAATGTGCCTATTTTCTGAAATTTCTTTTCGCCTAACTCAATCTTTGGAATTCTAAGTTGAATATTTGAATATTGATGTTATATAAGTGTGTGTGAATTTTCACTATATGTTGGATCTAAGTACGATATGTTATTTTGGTGTAATATTATATGTAAGATAAGATTTGATATAATTTATGAGGATAAGTACAATATAATGAATCTTTCCATATTTCCGGGCTAAAACGGTTGACCCATTAACTCGATCGGGTCTGAGTCAACCTGCGGGTTGACAACCTTGATTGTACTGTTCCTCATGACATTTTAGCTACCTCTAATTGCGGGTTACTGTCACAGTGAGTCCATGCTCCGCTGTGACAACATCCACAATACCAGTCTTAGCCTCATGGGCACTTTCTCTACCGTGTTTCCCATTAGGTATTGTTTTTCAATTATTCTCATTATTTAATAACAATGCATACTATGTAATGTTTATGTGAGAAAATAATGGTGGTATTGTGAAAGACCCCGCAAGCTAAGGGATCTTTGGGATAACCGAAGCAAGGGGGATAACCGAAGCTAAGGGATCTTTGGTGGCTCAAGGCCCTTTTATATACTCTGTCTACTTCTCAAGGAAGGAGAGTCAGCTGTACAAATTACCTTAGGGTAACGGTAACAAACAAACAAAGCTCTACCTACAAATAAGAAAAGGACAAGTGTACAATCTACAGTAAAAACGGAAGACCCCTTTACACTAACTAATACGACTGCGTTGTACTCAGCTCCTCTGTTGCTTCTGAGGGAAACGTTGTCGTATCAGAGACTCCTTAGTGCATCAGGAGAAGGATCAGCTTCCTTCCTATAATCTACATCTGCATCTCCAATACCCTCCCTCAAGCTGACACATACAGGTTTTGTATGTTCAGCTTGGACATCAGATAATGGAGTCTAAATCGGCTGAGACCTTTTGTAAACAAATATGCAATTTGGTTTTCAGTTTCCAGGTGACTCAGACCTATCAGTTTTGATTGAAGGAACTGTCGAACAATGTGACGGTCAATCTCAATGTGTTTCGTTCTTTCATGAAACACATGATTTTCTGCAATGTAAATGGTTGATCGACTGTCACAGAAAAGATCGACAAGCTGAGGATGATCAATACTAAGCTCCTGTAATAATCTTTTCACCCAAACAATGTCACACGTTAACTGAGCTAGAGCCCTATACTCAGCTACAGAAGAACTTCTGGAAACGGTTCCTTGCTTCTTGGATTTCCATACAATCAGTGCAGTTCCAAAGGTAATGCAATACCCAGTTGTAGATCTTCTTGTGATAGGGCAAGATGCCCAATCCGAGTCACTATACCCTCTAAGATTCAAATCAGAGGAAGAGGGATAGAAGAGGCTCTGACCTAGTGCATTTTTTTAGGTATTTAAGAACTCTATAGGCCAACTGCATATGAGTGGTGGTTGGTGCAGCTTGGTACTAACAGAGTTGTTGAAGAGCAAAGGTAATCTCAGGTCTTGTGATGGTCAAGTAGTGTAAACGACCCACAATCCTTCTAAACAACCCAGGATCATCCAAAAGAGGCATCATCTGCTGAAAGACGAGTCTTCATGTCAATGGGAGTCACAACTGGCTTAGAATCAGCAAATCCAGTATCAGTGAGGAGGTCAATACAATACTTCTTCTGGCATATACGTAATCCCTCCCTGGATCGTGCCATTTCCAGACCAAGGAAATAATGGAGATGGCCTAGATCCCGAAGCTTGAACTGATTACTTAAATGTGTTTTCAGGGCTTGCATACCCACAACATCATCTCTAGCAATGATGAAGTCGTCAACATAAACAAGAAGAGCTGAAGTACCAGCAGAAGAATGATGAAGGAACAGTGAATAATCATTCTTGGACTGTGTATAACCAAAATCAAGCAACACTGAAGTAAGTTTGGCAAACCATTTCCTGGATGCCTATTTTAGGCCATAGAGGGACTTGTTCAGTTTACAGACATAGCCAGGCTTTGAGATACCAGGAGGAAGTTCCATGTAGACATCTTCCTCCAAGTCACCATTGAGGAAAGCATTACTTACATCAAGTTGATAGGTGTCCCAATTCTTTGCTGCTACTGACAACAGGGTCTTGACAGAGTTTAACTTAGCCACTGGAGAATAAGTATCCAAAAAGTCAACACCATAAATTTGTATAAATCCCTTAGCCACCAACCTGGCTTTATATCGTTCAATAGTACCATCTGCTTGATACTTGATGTTGTAAACCCATATGTTACCAATAACCTTTTGATGAGAAGGTCTGGGAACTAAATCCCAGGTGTGGTTAGCCTCCAATGCTTCCAATTCTAATTCCATGGCTCTTCTCCAATATTCCTCTTTAACTGCTTCTTCAAAGGAACTAGGAATGATTGTGGACTCCACTGCCAAAACATATTTCCTGTAACTGTTGGACAGTTGTTCATATGACAAGCAAGCAACCATTGGATATAAAGTTTTTAAATCAGTGGTTCCTAGGTGCATTGCATAATCATTGTATCAAATAGGTTTGACAGGAACTTGAGGATCTTTCCTGAGAGCAATTGGCTGAGGAGAAGAAGATGGAGAAGGTGAAACTGGAATAGGAGAAACAGGTAAAGGAGAGGGAACAGTTGGTTCTGTGTGGACAGGGCTGGTAGGTGGTGAGGAAGAAGGAGAAGGAGATGGTGAGACTGGTGATTGGGGTTGAGCAAGAGGAATATCAGGTTCATGTGTAGTATCTGATTTTGGAAAGGGGAAACGAGGAGAAAGGGAAGGAATCATGGGAATAGGAGGTGTATCTTCAGATAGGCAAGGAATGATATATTCATGGAAAATAACATCCCTAGAAAAGAACACCTTCTGGTCTTGTAGATCATATAACTTATAACCCTTCACACCTAT